CTAGACATATACCTAGACATATACCTAGACATATACCTAGACATATACCTAGACATATACCTAGACATATACCTAGACATATACCTAGACATATACCATCTTACTCGGTGAACAATTTTATAGAAAGAGATTTTAGTTTTGGCCAAAATCATTTCAATTATGCTCAACTTATTGGACTAATGACATTTCCATTTCCATCCGTGGACAAGATTTTTTTAATATAGCTGCAGCAGTTCCTCTGTAGTATAAAAGTCCTTGAAAGATTTCACAGCTTCAAGTTTCTCACTGGCAGGGCATGTTTTAACTATATAACTATACTGCATGGGGCATTTATCCCATGCAGTAGGCCCTTTGCTTGCCAGTAGTGAACTGAGCCGCCATGATTTTCAGATGAGCTGGGCCATTTTGATCATTAGTAAATTAAAAGTCAACCTGGTCCTTGTTGAAAAAGCTGCATCTGTCTGCTTTCTCCGACCTTTCACATTCTCGACATTACATCTTATTAAAGTCAGAACAGGCAGGGGTGGATGTAGTGGATGTGGGTGTGAGGGTTGAAACATCCCCAGTCAGCCTGAATTATATATAATCCCAGTTGGATAGGAAGGAAAGAAACTAAAATATTTGAGCCGGTGACACTGATTAAAAACTAATCATTGTAGCTAAAATTTAGAGAAAAATTACGGATAATTAAACAAACAATGCTACGTTAACCGAAAATAAAATAAAATAAAATGAAAAGTTTAATTCATGTGCGGAAAGTTTTTTAATGTAGAGCCGTGAAACTCCCCTCCCCCCCCCCAAAAAAAAAAAATAAATTAGCTTTTGAGATGAGTCGGCAAAAGTTCACTTACACCCTATTTCAAATAGGGATAGCGCCGCCTCTGAGCACAGGTAACTGTGCGGGGTAAGGGCGCTCATCGAAACTTGGCCCCAGCAGTTGCAATTTCTTAAATAATGCCCTGCATGCTCACTGGCTAGAAACTGCTTTGGTTTGGTCAGTTAATTTCCTTCACATTTGCACACAAGACGCAAAATAAACCAGGGGAATACGAAAGTGTAATGTAATGAAATATACTGATTGATAGTAGTAAAATGTACATACCAGGGTTTTTTTCAGGATTTTCTCTTGGGTCCGTTTTTGCAGAGTGTACTCAATAAATGTAGTTGAGACGGAATGTGTTAAAGCAGGGGCACTGAGGGACACTATAAACTGGTTAAAGTTGGCGAATGCATAGTTTTTCTTGTGTTGTGAGATGAATTCCAGCCATTTTTCTTAATTGTCGGGTTTCCAACTGAAAACTAATTTCCACACGTCACGAATTTAACTCAAACAACTTCATTTTTACTGCACTGAAACTTTGGTGAGAAGATTGAGTTTCAAAACTCAATTCAAGATTGAGTTTTTGGGGCCGTTTAACGGCCCTAAAAAATCCCTGAAGAAAAGCCTGCATAGATACATACATGCATACATATATACATACAAACTTTATTTATTCACACTAGCCTCAACAACATTACAAGCTGATTTTCATTGAGGGGCGTGATTTAGAACTGTTTACAGGATAAGACACATTAGCAACAAGTGAATAATAGCACAGTTGTACTGCTTAGAGGTTAATATATTTTGATGAGCCAGATTCAACAAATTCTCTGATTCAAAATTGTTTTGGAAGAGCTTTAACGATTCTGAATTTTTTGCCTCCTGGGGAAGATTGTTCCACAGTGAGGCCCCATTATCGTTAAAGCACCTCTTGCCGAATTCTTTCTTTGGCATAGGAAGTGCTAAGTCAGTTTCACTATTTCTGAGATTGTAAGAATTATCTATTTCGTTGTTTGATCGAATCGATTCTTTTAGATTAGGTGCGGTGTGGCCATTAATTATTTTATACATGAAAATATTGCGCATGATTGATCATTAAAATGACCAAACAGACAATTATCTCTTGGATGCAAACGTAAACATTCTAATAAATACTCATTGACATTTGATAGATTTGTAATACTGTTTGCCCATTTGGAAAAACCAAATATCGTTAAAGCACCTCTTGCCGAATTCTTTCTTTGGCATAGGAAGTGCTAAGTCAGTTTCACTATTTCTGAGATTGTAAGAATTATCTATTTCGTTGTTTGATCGAATCGATTCTTTTAGATTAGGTGCGGTGTGGCCATTAGTATAGGCATGGATTGTAAAATAACTGGATAGGAAACTTCCTGACGTCATTGACTGCATCCTTGTTGAAAAACGTGACGTCACGCATATTGCGAATGTTAGCAAAGTTCTCGGCATTTTTGTTGTTTTGCTATATTTTCCACTTTAAAAGGGTGATATTGGAGCATAAACTGGTCTAATTGTTTTAAAAACATGCCTAAGCCACGACAAAGTATTCAAGGTAAATGTTTTTCGTCTTTGTTTTGTATTTTTTTACATTTGTAGCTACGAAATTGGCGTCACAAATTTTAACGAAATTTGCGATGTATTTTTCACTGTTTAGTGCTTGAAATATTTGCTAAAATTGACTGGGAATACTTAGAGTTTTCATTGTAGAATGGTGTGGTTATATTTTATTTGATCTTTGACTAAAATGTTTAGCTGTATTATTGCTATAATAATTAATATTATAATAATGAAATAATTGCACTCCTCTTAACCAATCAGATTGCAGTAATTTTGTCATGTATATAATAAATTATTTTATACATGAAAATAGCTTTCAAGTATAGTTGCGTCTTACTTCTAAGGGTTCCCACCACAGAATAAAGATCAGTAACAGAAGGGCCACTCAGCGGTGCAACGTGTCCTCGTTATTTTATGAAAAAATATGCAGTTTACTGGCCAGAAGGCGGAGCAGCCAGCCAGTACAGCGTGTTTATTGGCCAAAAAATGTCAGTTGACTGGCTAGGAAAATGGCGGCCAACATGCGTAATGAGACATGCACGAGGCTCTTCTATATGGATCTTTATTCTATGGTTCCCACCAAAATCAGCCGATCGAACATCATAGTTTGCCCCAGTAATTACCCTTGCAGCACGATTTTGATATTTTTGCAGCCTGTTTTTCATTTCAATACCGCAATTATCCCATAACGGACTGCAATAATCAAAGTAAGGCTGCACGATGGCATTATACAACATTTTTAGTGTCAATGGGACAAAAGGTATCATTGCACCAATACCATGCAGTACCAACCTTTGAACCAAGCCCGTAGCTGGCTCTCAATTGGAGGGGCTCGAGCTCCAAAGCCCCCCCCCCCCCGCCCATACTCTACGCCTATGAGGTTATTTATTTTAGGCCACAAGCAATCTATTTTCATACAAAAATTGAGTATGACTATGAGCCTCAAGTATTAATCTTCTACGGTCGCTGTAGTACTGTATATCATGGGAAAAAATGTGGAATAAGGGGGGGGACATTTATTTCCGAGTGGGGGGGGCACTTTCAGCTATGGGCCTGCTTTGAAGGGACTCGAAAGTTGTCCATTCATCAAACATTGCTGTACTCTAATATTCAAATATGATCAGTCAAACCATTTTAATTGAGTTTCCGTTATTTCGAAGAAATTATGCATTTTGTCTATTAAACAGTGTCTCGTGATTTATGGAATCAAAGGCTTTTCTAACGTCAAGATGTAATGTACTTTGTATGATGGTCATTTTCTTAGGCCAGTTGAAAAAAATAGTTGATTAGCGTCCTTATAGCTTTTGCCAAAAAGTAGGCGGGCGGGTTTTTTTTCAATTTATACTTTTTAATTTTTTTTAATTTGTAACTCCTTGCATGGTTTATTAGGTCCGAAACTGGATTTTCTTGCATGCACAGTACATATATTTCTTGAACCCTTTTAGTTTATACATTTCACTGCCTTAAAAATAAACTTGACAGCACAGGCCAATGCTTACTGATGTATAAACTGAAAACAGTTAAATATTGCTAGACAACAGAAATGTGACCTTACTAAGGAATCAAATGCAAAAAAAGTTTGTTCACATTTTACACATGTCTGATAAGACATCTCAAGAAATTTATTGTATATATCCATCATTATTTATTCCTGTTGGGACAAATAATGTTGAAATATGCATGGATCTTCACCAAAGACCATACTTAATGATCTCGAGAATTTCAGTGATTGTTAGATGTTTTTTGTTTTAGCAAAATATTGCTTGACATGCTTGTGCCAAGGAAGTCGTACAAGGTCAACCAACTAAAAAATATTTGGAATGATGCAAACATATCATAGACATAGGAAGTTAAATACGTGACTGTCCAGTTTTGCATGTGACCGTCACAAAAACGTCTTTGTCATCTGTACAGTATGTGACTTTTTCAAAAATCTCTTTGTCATCAAAATATTTCCGCCTCATATTTTAACTTGCCTTATTGTGATACGATGTCTGAAGTGATAACAGGTTTGTTGAAGGTTACCTTCGCTTTAATATCGAACAAAGTTCGTGCTTATTGCGCTGAGAAACTCCAAGATGGAGATCTCACTGATCAAAAGTTTCGAGGTTTGATTGTTCGTGAACTGGACGACATCAAATCCAAACTTGATGCTATTTCGAGAAAAGATCTTTGTGCCAGCATGAGTTTCCTGCAACAAGGCATCCAACGTCTAAACAGGTCATTTGGCGAGTCTTCTGAGAGTGAAAACCCAACTGAATTACCGAATGAAAAAAAGCAATCACAAAGCACAAAGAAAACGTGCGCTGGGGCATGTTCAACCGACAAGAAGCCAGCTCAACAGTCGGTGGCTGTAGAAGACGCATTTGCGCTGGCCAATGCCATTGGAAAACTGAAGATCGAGTCAAATGAGCTATTCGAGTTAGCTAAAAAATCCTTTGAAGATAATTCGCGGCAACGGACTGTTCACAGTACTTGCGAGAATTGCATGATATGCCAGCCATAAAGGAAATATTTTCAGTGCACGTTGGAACAGGAATAAAATCATGGTTCAAATCAGGTTTCAAAAAAGACTCAAGAGCGGAAATCGTGGAAAGCGTAACGATGATCAATTTGATCTTGGCTGATTTTATCTCGAAGTTTACAAAGCGAAGAATGGCTGTTTTTGATTGGCCAATGATAGATTGCGGTAAACGCGTTGTGCATCCAATTCATTACGATAAAGAGAGTGCACCAAATATGAAAAAAATAAAAATAACACCACCTTGGGACATTGTAGTATCCGAGAAAGACCTGTTTGGAACAATATGCACATGTGCATTAACCACAAAAGGAAATCTCATTTGTGTCACAGATGACAGACGTGGTCTTGAAAAACTCGACAAAACAACAGGTAAGCTGCAGCCGTACTGTCTTTCTCCTTTACAAGTCAACACTGAACATCCTCAGCCCAGCGGTGAATTGATTGGTATAGCTATCGATGATAACGACACAGTGTACGTTCTGTCGCGTACTGACGGCAAGAATGGATACACATTGTCAGTCTATAGTCCAGATGGAAGAAATACGCATCATTGTTGTTTGGAATTTCTTCAAGGGTTGTCAGTTTTCCACTGACGTATTACGTGCTTTACATCTACTCCGCAGACGGACAGTTAAAAACGACTGTAAAATTTCGTGCAAGTGAAGGTCTAGATGCCTATGGCAGGTTATTTTACAACTATGACACCAAGATCATCGTCGGTCACGTTATGGACTTGGATGATGGCAAGATATTGATAGAATATTTGTCTGGTCAAACTGCCAGACTTCAACTTTCATACGTACTGTATCAGACAAACTTTCCAGAAGGTTTGTTTTTTTCTGTTCTTGCCCACCATACAAATGGTGCACTTGTTTTGATTAGTAAGAAGCATGTGATTTTGCTTCAAAAACCTTCTCCGTGAACTATAACAAACGTTTTGCCATTTTTACCGTATATCCTTTATTAAGCGCCCCCTTCCCCCTCCCCCTCACAACTAAGAAACACTGTGTACATCATTGACTAGATTTATCAATTAGTCTGGAAATTCACGATGAGTTACTGCATTTTTCACTTACTGCGTTTCAAGCGAAACAACAAACAATACCCCACCTTTCTTGATTTGCCCCCTCTCCCTCCCTAGAATAACCCACACACCTTCAAACATGTCTGCAGTAAAATCTGAGAGCTTGATACAAGGTTTATCGTATTTCAAGCACACAATAATTCATAAGTTTATTGGCAAATCGTGTCAACCATAATTTGTCACGTGAAGAATTAAGCTTTATACCTGATAAAACTCATCTTCATTAATATTGATATTTGTGGTGTTACTCTCTGAGTGTATATCCACACCGGGCGAACTTGAAAAATATGCCCGGCCACGGTGGGGTTCGAACCTACGACCTTTGGAATACTAGCCCAATGCTCTTCCAACTGAGCTAGGCGGTCAGGACGGTTCGAGTAAGTGATATTTCGGAACAGAATCTAGTTCCTTCGATACCAATGTATTCTAGTAATATGAATTTTTTTCTGTGTTGGTGTAGTGTACTCAGGTGAATATGATATTTGTGGTGTCGGCCACGGTGGGATTCGAACCTACGACCTTTGGAATACTAGCCCAATGCTCTTCCAACTGAGCTACGCGGTCAGGACGGTTCGAGTAAGTGATATTTCGGAACAGAATCTAGTTCCTTCGATACCAATGTATTCTAGTAATATGATTTTTTTTTCTGTGTTGGTGTAGTGTACTCAGGTGAATATGATATTTGTGGTGTTACTCTGAGTGTATATCCACACGGCCACGGTGGGATTCGAACCTACGACCTTTGGAATACCAGCCCAATGCTCTGCCAACTGAGCTACGCGGTCAGGACGGTTCGAGTAAGTGATATTTCGGAACAGAATCTAGTTCCTTCGATACCAATGTATTCTAGTAATATGAATTTTTTCTTGTGTTGGTGTAGTGTACTCAGGTGAATATGATATTTGTGGTGTTACTCTGAGTGTATATCCACACCGGGCGAGCTTGAAAAGTATGCCCGGCCACGGTGGGATTCGAACCTACGACCTTTGGAATACCCCCAATCCCCACCTCCCC